GGGCATGGACGGTCTGGGAAAGACGTACGGATTTGGATTTGGACAAGCTTCCCAGCGTCTGGATGGTCTTGGAGATGAGCGTCAGGGTGCGGGATGTCTGTGGATCCTGTGGAGGGAGACAGCCGCTTGTGAGAGTCTCTTCAACACACAGCTCAAGGCCGGCCACAGCGTCTTGGTGCCGCCTTGCGCTCACTTATTCACTGTTGGTGAACTCAACGCTCTCGAGATGTACTGGAGGTTAATGGTATCCAAGACAGGCTACCACACTGGCACCACTGTCACTAGGGAGAAATTTGGTCCTCAATCCGTATGGATCTGTGTACCTTTGCTACCAGTGCCTCAATTATGACAGCTCTTGGCACTCCTAGGTGCCCACACTACTGTACACTGAAATCACCCCAAACTTTCGGGCAGATTTCACTCAAAAGCGGATTACGTCTCAAAATACGCTGAAGCGTTTTAGAAACACAAAATATATTATTATACAGTATATTATAAAACACGATCATAGCTCTAGAATTGCTTTCCGCCCACTGCTATAGCCACACCAACATCAATATCCTTCATTCGTCTCTCAACGTGATGGTGCTTGTCTGCAGATGGTGAGGGTCAGGACTGACTCTGTGCTCCGGCCTGCCTACGGCACTGCTGTGGTCCGCAGTACCGCAAAGATGTCAACCCAATCGAGCACCTGTGACACCGACCGGAGGGCCGGGCACGTCAGTGTCAGTCACTGCCAAAACAAGCCCATTGGACTGACGGACAAACGGTATCTGTGCATCCGCAATGACCGACGGTATATGCAGTGCACTCCTAAGGTGCCGTTTAAGCCAATAGCACACAGACAAAGTAAAGATCACTTACAGTAGGTAGCAGTAATTGATCAATTCACAATGTATTGTTCATTCATAATAACATACAACATGCGATTTCAACAAAACGATACGGAGCAAAATCAATTCATTAGTAGCATATCAGCATTGTTATGCTACAGAAATGGGTCTGCAGGCATTAAAGTAGACAGAACTGAAAACGTGAATTGTTCTAGCCTTTAAACGGTTTCTCGCACGGCTGTGCACCAACCCCGTGTCCGGTCTTACCGGGTGATGTGGCCGGAGGTGGAACAGGTTGGGGGACAAGATGGCTGGAGCGAAGAACCTCAGGAAGATGAAGCTGCTGACAGCTGTGTACCTCACATCTGGATCCACTGAAAGGACAGCCCCCCGTAAAAACAATCACAGTCACCACACCGCTTCGTGTCCAGAGCGATAACTGTGTCAATGCCTTTTCAATACTATCTTATATAACAAAAGCCCTTATTATCATATCTTCTTCTAAAAAGCAACATGTTCGTTAAAGTGCAGATTGTCGCACTGACAGATGTATTTGCTCTTAAGGCGTGAGACAACTACAACAGAAGTACACAATGTGGAACTTCAGCCTGATGAATGCAATACAGTCTGATAAAAAAAACCAAGATAAAACCCATTTAGTGCTGCTACATTATTTCTCTGCAAATAATATATAAGGGTTGGAGTGTCTGTGAGTGAGCTGCAGAGGAACAAGTAGAGATTAATTCCACACTGAAACGTATAAAGAAAAAATGTTTGGCGTGTATAGTATTAATAAAGACGTGGATTGTTAATTTGATGCAGTGCACCATGTACGCCAGCAGATGGCAGTATAACAACAGCAGAGAGACTGCCAATGACCGCAATATTTTCAAATGCTTTAAGAGCTGCTCTCCAATGTAAACTACGATATTGTAGCTCCAGGTGGGGCTGCACATTGGTGGTGGTGGAGGGGAGTCATTACCTGTAAAGTGCTTTGAGTGGAGTGCCCAGAAAAGCGCTATATAAGTGTAAGCAAGTAATTATTACTTATTGTTATCCCTGATTTAAAAAAAAATCTTAGGTTAAATACTCATTAACCACACAAGTTTCAAACCTCATTTCTATACTGAATAATGTTATGCAGGCTTGGGTTTGGAGACACTGCCTTCTGCCTAGACTTTCCAAACGCCCTGTAGACCCAATGCAGTGGAGAGTGTCTGGGTACCTTGAAAACGTTTGGCTGCTGACTCTCGCAGAGCAAAGAAGATATCACACATGACCGTGGGGCAGCGGACCCCAGACTTGGTGATCACCGTGAAGATTCGGTCGACATACTGCCGCAGGTTCTCCTGGAGAGGAAATCAGAGAGCAAACATGAAGACAATGTGACAATATGAGGATCCTGCGCTGGGGTCTGTGGCAAAGGCTTTCTATGCTTTAAGAGCAAATGCATACAGCACAGGCTACTACAAACTGCTGTTCAGTGCTTTGAATAAATCATTACCCGTCTGCAGAATTAAAAATGCCTGGTCTTGGCGCTTAAATTGTAAAATGACCTTTCTCAGGGAGTTCAGGAAATGTTTTCAGCTGCAAACTGAGAAATGGGCTCAGAGAATGGAGGCCTTCCTTGTGCACTTAGGGACAGTTTTACAATAGTGAAATGGGACAGTGAGGAAGGCTCTTGGGCACATGTAACAGATGTATGGGATATGTGTTCTGAAGTCCACCCACATTTCTTGCACTAAGCTTGCTATTTCAACCCAATGATAATTCTTTGTTCTTCAGCTTTCACAGCTCTGGCATCAACATGTCTGTGTTGCCAGGCCTTTCAGCCTAGGCCAGGCTTGACAAGTGTGATAAAAATGACAGAACAATTCACTGAGGCTGGAGTCAAAGACCACCGTACTCTGTTGGTGTCCATGTTTTCCGATTCCTTCAGCTTCACAGGGTCAATTTCACAGGGTTTGTGGTCTTCACAAATCTGTAGACAGAGGAGTTCACACACTTTCTGTGAGTTCTGGAGATCTGACAAGTTTATTCACTTCTGCTGAAAGTTTTACACTTACTTTTTTAGTGGTGGTGAGAGATATCTTTTAAATAATTCATCCAGAGCAGAAAAAGGAAGAGCTACCTCCACTATTTGCCCGAGAACATCTGGACTCAATTCTTGAGAAAAGCTTATAAAGTTAGACTCAACCATAAACCACCAGGGTTAGAAGGCAAGAAAACCAGGGAACTGCATTACTGTGCTAACCACCTGGGACATTTTAGTCTAAAGCTGCGTAAATTATTTGCAGAATTCCTTAAATTACATTAATAATTCCTATTATGCCGACTAGCTAACAAAGTCCGAAACAGTTGTTAGATATATCTAACATATATAATAATCAAGCTTTTCTTAATCAGCTTAAGAGGTATGAGAAGAATCAGAATTCCCTTCCCTTGATACTGATTTCGTTTAACTTTCAAAAACATGTAATAGTTATTGCTTAACTTTCAGTTTTACGACGCCAGAAACGTAAACCACAGTAAAGCTCCTGAATGATTCTCCCTTCCCTTTTTCACAGAAAGAGAGAGCGAGTGCTGAATTTCTGGCAGTGTGCGTATTCACAGTCTGACTATGTGACTCACAAGGAGTCTCTCGGCCTCTCAGGGAGGGGTGACACTTGAGGAGGAAGCCTGTGGTCAAGTCAGTTACTTTGGAGAAAACAATGATATTTTGCTAATGCTAAGGCAAGAAAAGCTTTAAGATGTGAAGCCAGGAGATTCAATAATTGGTGTTGTGCATATTGAAAAAGATGTAAACAGAAGTAGTGTTTCAGCTTGAAACATAAAAACAGCTTTTCATTTGCTAAAATACTAAAATAAACAACCCCAAAGCTGGAACTGACAGCATTCTTCATTCTGACTTTAGTTGTCAATATAGTTTTAGCTTCCCAAGCTGCACAGTAATACTCAAGTGTGTGTAGTCCTCCACAAATTGTTCTCTTTAAGAGCAGGCAGAAAAGTATATTGTACTATTTCTCGTATAAATCTATAAATCAACGTATTTGTCATTTGCAAAAAACTATTGACTTACTTCCCTGTAAATCCATGTACACAATAAAAAATAAAATCAAGCAAAAGATGGAAAGTGCATGCCCTCACTTCATCGATGATGGGCTTCAGTGTCACTTGGAGGTAATGCTTCCCAGCCAACTTCATTGTCTCATCAATGCACTTGGAAGTCAATGAATTTCCTCTGAAAATGGTGTTGGGATCCCTGCAAGGAAAAGGTTTTGGTTAGAAGAAAACAGTGCCGTTTTCAGCCCTTTGATATGAAAGCAGTTTGTCTAGCGGAGGAGTGGAAAATCAGTTTGCTCTGTCCTAACCAAGCAAAAAGGCGGACCACCAGCACTTCACTGTTTTTGAAAACTTTTGGATGAGTGGGAATACTGCATATGATCAGGTAGGTCTGTTACTCACAGGGCAGAACTATGTAGCACTGTAAACAGTGTACGGAAAGCCCATACTCACAGGGTCCTGTTGACCTCGGCATTGGCGATGGCGCTGAGGAAAGGCACGATTTTCCCACAGTGCAGGAACAGCCGGACCAGAGGGATGGCAGCTTCCTGCTTCTCCCGGCAAACCTCTCCCAGCACGTGGGCCGCAGACGCTGACACAGGCTGCAGGGGGGGGTCAACAAAGGGTTAACACGTTGCTAGGGTGCAGCATAGCACAGCACACAGAAACGATTTCTGCAAGGTCACCGGAGAACAGGAGTCTGCAAGGCTCAGCGCTTCCAGAAGCCTCCGTCTGAATCAGTGTCGTTTTGCTAAGAGGAAGGCTAGAGAGTCTAGAAGCCCTGAAGCCTGTTGTCTGTCTTAGAACTGCAGAAGCTGCCCATCCGAATACGAACACCCAAGCAGGACAATCAAGCACTCGGACTGGAAGCCTCTGTTATTTTCTCAATGGGTCCCTCAGATTTTAGAAACCTCAGGGCCAACAATTTCTCTCTTCCACACATCTGCATTCCTAGCCAGAGAAAACCTCCAAAACAATCTTGACATGTATTTCTGTATAATGTACAGGTACGTTGGTCTATTGCAACCTAAAGGATAGCGGTAGATTTAGTGATTTTCTTGGGGTTAGGCAGAATTTACACAGTAACATTCTAGTCCTTGATTATATACAGTACTATATCAGAAATGGAATCTGTAGATTGTGATTCTTTCAGCCCCAAATACCCTCAGATGTCTGGCCCTCTGAGATTTTTTGAGGCCTCAGTGCTGTTTGTTATGTGAATATAGAGTAGGCGAATAGCATGTAGGCGAATAGCAATAGGATGCTGCAGATTCAAGGTGATACTTTTGTCTTTTCTGCAATACAGTCCACACCCAAAGTGAGGTTAACCCCATCCCTCCTCCGTTTAGGTGTCGGTTGAGCTGCTCGGAGTTAAACGTTCTGCACTGAGATGCTCTGAGCAGATAACATGCCAAGCACATCTGAAATACCCATCAATAGGAAACAGGAAACCCCACCTCAACGTCTGCTGATTTCAGTAACAGGTCTCTGAGTGGACTGTAGTACTCTGATGGAAAGACATGGTCCTCTGTGTAAACGATGTTCAACCTCAGGGAACCCAACTCATCTGGCTTGACTGTCTTACTGCCATTGTCCCTGGGCTGCAAGAAGTACCTTCAAAAGAACCAAAAGGCATGGCTAGGCAGGCACAGTAGCTGATTTGCACATTTAATCTCTAGAGGCATAGGGTGAAGTCCAGCTCAGGTCATGATTAATTGGTCACAGGGAACCACAAAGTTCAAACATTTCATTTACTTAAAGAGACCACATGACGGATCTGTGCAGCACGTGCACATTAAGGCAAGATATACAGGTATAGTATTTGCAGCTTTTGAGTTGGGTAAGTTCCTAACAGTACTTGTATGTCCAAACGTGAAATTAATATGATTTCTCTCTCTCACAAAATTGTTTTTTTTTTTAAAACAACGCTTTTGTGGAGACTGATGAGGTCAAGCAGCAGACAAACAACGTGTATTCATCAATGTGTATTCATCCTGGTCCTGTTTTCTCTGGGATCGCTTCCCAGTTTACAGGACCAATTCATTCTTTTCAAGTGAACGTGTTTTTTCCAGCAGCTAATCTTCTGTTTTTACTCATTGTGCCCTTCACTTTTCGTGCAGCTAGGCTTTGTGTCTTTCCCAGGTGTCTACACCTGGTCTCCTTTCCCCGCCAGACTTCCTGACTGCAGTACACCCCGATGTGACTTCTAGCCCACCAACTTCTCAGGTGTGGAGAATGTGGAGCTCAAACGCAACATCACATGCCTCGTGTCTGAAATGACAGGCCAACTGAGGCTGCACGTGAGTCCGGCGTGACCAATCCTCAAACCAGCCTGTCTCGCACACAACACGTCCACGCTGTGGGATGTGTGCTGCCAGCGATCGACCCAGTGACTTTCATTTAGAGTTAAAACAAAAAGTAAGCTGTCTTACCATGCGTCGTGGAAGCCACACTGCCCGAGCACCTTAAGGGAGATTCGAATCTCCCCCAGAAACTCATCTCCAAACTTCAAGTTGCTGGCATTCCAAAGGTCAACACTGTGAACAACAATAACACGGACGTCACTCAGAGACTAGTTACAGCCAGGGCATTCTGTTCCTCCCTTCAGCTGGACCACATTCTGAAATTAAGTGACCATGGGAAACCCCAGAGAGGATTCCCATCCTTTTAACACATAGCCAACAGAAGACATTGCATTCGTGTTATCTCTAATGTTTGTACGCAGCTAAACACGTGCATCCAAAATTAAATAATAGAACTGCATAATATAAACCACCATTTGCAAGGTTTCCAGTGAGAGGAAGCCTGTGTGATTGTAAAAAAAATGTGGAATGAAAATTGTGTTCCTTTATAAACTGGCTGATCAGCATTTCTTTGACTCTGTTGTCCATGCATGACCTGAACACTGACTCCTCCAGTATAAACATTTGTTTAGCCAATAGACTCCCAACATGGTACAGTAAGTATCATTTGTGCATATACCAAAATGCATAACCAACACTTTGTTCTGACAACTCAGTCTTTGTCTTCAGAATGGCTGCAACAAGTTTAGAACAGGCAGCTTTCATGAACAACCGAAGCTGTTTCTGAGCAACGCTAACCCTGATTCTGAGCTACAGGAGCTCATCAAAGGCTTACACAAACTGTTTAAGGAATCTTTAGTCAATGAACTCTAAACTTGGCAGGTATCATTCTAGTGATAAGACAGTTCACATTTGGTAAAGTGAGTTCTTGCTCAAAGATCAATGGCAGCCTGACAGAAATTCTATCTACTGTACCAGTATCTTGATAAATAGTATATTATTTATCAACGTGAAAATCGTCAGGTGTCATTACACCCAGACATACTTCAATCTTGCACAGCAGTTTAAATGCTTGTTACACCCACTCTGAGACACTACCTGCTTTTGGAAACGTGCACCTCAAAAGAAGGTCTTTTTTTTTTTCAAAAACTGGTTGGCCAGATTAACTTCAAACACCATAGTTATCATTCTACAGACAAAGCAATTGCCAGACGGGAAAATTAAGATCCTGGAAATACCAAGATAACTCCTTTACTGCCGATTTACACTTCTTGTCTTTCTGCATTCTGTGCTGCAAAATGATTGAGAAGTAATTCCAAAGTTGGTAAATATATGATTCCAGTCACAAAACTGTTTACATAGGGTGAAATGGGGTTTCTGTAAAAATCAAGATGACTGCCGAATTGCTATTTTGTTCTTAAACCTTCAACTGCAGCTTAGCATACAGTGTTAAGAAAAAAGGCACTTGAAAGAAGTTAGGTTTCCTTTCCTTACTTCAGCTTTATGCTGCTTCACATTGCAATGATAGTTTAAGCACACACCGCAGTTCATAAGGGCTTGGAGAAAGACACCCTGTATCATAACTGCTCTTCTTCAAAAGCTGGTTGGCCACAGAACCCAAACCTGTTACATCTGAACGTTCTCCTGTGTATATCAAAATGGCCATTTTTCACTTATGTTGTTTAGCTGCCCAGGCTTTATTTTTGTGACACTTCAAACAAAATATTAGGATCCAAGGTGTTTGTGTGAATCAAAATAGCTTTTCTGAATGCAATGGTTTTATTTTTATAATTCACACTGACTGACTTGAAATTCCTCGGCAGGCTCCATCAACACTAAAAGCTGGATTCAGATTTGCACCTCAAACATTGCAACAGTGCTTTTTAAAGCACCATATCATCACCTGCTTAGCGAAAGATGGACCATAATTCAAACTGGTCCTGTTAACAGGCCAGTTTACATTAAACTGATTAGGCTGGGATTTGCTTTTAAGCCTTCAAACCAGCTTACAGTTCTCTAGCTGTAAAAGCTCGATTTCCTCAATTAACAGAAGGATTTTGCACTGGTAAACTACACAGTTACAGGGTGTTCTGCAGTGAGGTGCGTCTTCATTCACCTAATAGCCATCTTGTCTACATCTTCCTCTTCAACATCGAAGTGAGATCTTCTTGTGTAGCTCAGAGGTCTGGTTACCTATTGAAAAAGTTAAATAAGACAGTTAACCAAAAAAAAGGCATCCTTAACACACTTCCGCTTTACTTCAGATTTGTCTTCATTAAAATAACAAACGTTGTATTGAATTATCTATACTAATTAAAAGCAGTGAGCGCACACAGAGCAAGGTCATTTCTCACCACTTTCAAGCTAAGAAAAAAAATACTTTCCAGAAACGGTAGGTATTGTGTGAATCTTCCAGTACAGATTCTGTTTTTCAGATACATATACGTGTAATTCCATGTATAAACAAGCATATAAAGGGGATGGACAAAAAAAATGGAAACACCAAACAATATTTATTAACTAATAAGGAGTTGGGCCAGCTTTTCTAATCCTACTGGGAATAGTGTTACACTAGTTATGAACTGGTAGTAGTGGGATACTGGGCCACTCCTCACGAAGGAGAGCCTCCAGGTCTTGGAGAGATGAAGGAGGTGGAAGTCTACTCTGCAGTCTACACTCCAGAGCTTCCCATCAAGCTTCAGTGATGTTGAGATCTGGAGACTGAGGAGGCGATGAGACGTGTCTGACTTCACCCTGGGGTTCATGAAACCACGTTTAACGGTGTGTATGGGGGCGTGGTCTTGAGGAAACAATGTTTGCACCATAGGGAGCACCAGGTCATCTAAAATGGCTTCAAATGCCTTGGCCATAATTCTATCAGCAGAGTAATCAGACCCAATGACTCCCATTATACGGCTGCCCAGACCATTATATGTGCGCTTTTTCAACACTGTTCCCCTTGACACATGAAATAATTTTGAGGTTTCTGTGACTGTGGGCCATCAACTATTTGATGTCTTTCAAAATCTGTTAGATCTCTCGTGTTGCATTAGAAACTGACATGTAGAAGTGTTGATTTTAGGACATCTTTTGTAGCAGAAACATATTGGTAATTAACATCAAAATTAACATAAAACACATGCGTAGAATCGTTTTTAATTGTGTTTTAGTACTGTACATGCAGAACGTACAGCAGATATAGATGTACTCTTTGTGAACTTCAGTATCCTAGGCTCTGCTTGCAGAAACGCTGTACAAAAGCAACTTACAGTACAACCAAGGTAAGTGAGTTATTCAAACCAATGATCCTATTATAATGTAAATTATATATTAGGAATCATATCCTTTTTGTTGTTTATACCAGTAGTACATCTGTATTTTTGAAAAATGGTAACTCACCACTTCCTTCCTTCCTGTTATCTCAATTGCATATTTTAAGTAGTCTCCAGTTGATTGTAATGTTTCTAATAAGGATGTTTTTTTTTTCAATAAACATCAAGGCATTCAAGTTATCAAGCAAACATGTGATAAAAAGCTAATTTCATGTTCATACTGTTTGAGAATTTATGATTAAAATTTGTCTTGTTGCTACAAAATGAATCACTTTTCTTGTGAAAACAATTTAAAATATTGTAATGGTGAAAACAAACACATTACACTTTTGAAAATGATAAAAAGTAAAAACTGTATATTAATACTCTCAGTGGTATCAAGCCTTATCTCAGTATTGTTGGTCTACTCGGCAAAGATGAAATGTGTGTAAGTGTTGATCATTTTAGATCTAAACCAGCTGGAGAAAAGATTACAATTTCTAAATGAGTGCACCATTTCAAATGAAATTTCATTTGCATTTAATAAATGAAAAAAAGGTTTAACTCTTATTCACCACAAATAGAAACTTACTGAAACATGTATGTAGCTATATTTATCATTCATGCAAGGACTTATCTAGAGAGATCAAAATTTGCATGGGCACAAGAACCTGTAGCTGGAACTGAGACAGGTACCTGGCTACCTGCTGTATGTTTTCTGGAGTGAGTTATCAAGATGCACACTGGAATAGGCTCACATGCTTTGAGTGCTTTAGAAAATGATACCAATGGTAATGAGTTTCACAGGAAATCTGAGACAAACGTGAACTCCACCCAAAAACTAAAACCACAGGATCAGATCAAAACACACTGACAAAAAACGTGCTTTCGCCTTTCTACAGCTGTGTATCTATCTGAACACGAACCACAGTCCAACTAAAAATAATCTGTGGTAAAACTTGTTTGTGTAATCTTCTTTTACTTCAGATCAAGAATGCGTGTATAAAAGTCAAATAAAATGAAACTTCATTGTTTCATTTATTTTGAATAATATATTTTAAAGATTAAGCTGGCAATAGTTTAAACAAAAAGTAAAGGAGAGTATGAAAGAAGCTGTACAGCATTTAAGTTGTGCAATACTAAAAGTGGAAATAGTATTGAGTGAGTGGATCTGTGAACTGTCTTCATGGTCAGTGGGAAGCCTGAGTCTATCCTGGAAAACAATGGGTGCAAATCAGGGCACAACCTGGATAGGACACCAGTCCATCACAGGGCACACACAATTAACAGTTAACAATTAACCTACCACTGTTTCTGAGCAACCAGAGGGAACCCACAAAAACACAGGGAGAACATCTAAACAAATGTCTGCAATTGAAATTCTTACCACTGTACCACCCTCTTCTATAAACTTATGATAATGCAGTAAATAATAATGCAGAGGTCTTTCTCATACATTATCTGCATTTCTACGTTTTGATGTTTTTTCTCTGGAAGTAGGGTTAGCCCTCAAAATCAGAGATGTACGCCTATTGGTAATGTAAGGTTCTCTTCAAGACACTTTCCTGCAATTTAGCAAAGTTAGGAATCATGAAGTTAGGAATAATCATTTCGCCAAACCAGGAAGAACTCTCCATCCACGCACCACTGATCACCATTAGAGTCTAAAAAAAATAACTCCCCTAATTTATCTGCTTCAGTAATTGTAAACTACAGATGAAGTGCCCCAAGTCTTTCCGTCTTCAACAAAAATCTGGGAATTTAGTCATTTGCCAAGAGCATAGTGCAATGATGAGTTTGTTCTAAACCTGACTTACAATGAAAATAATTCACTGGCTCACTGGCTCTCACAGTAAGAACCCCTGAGAGCAACAAAGACAAATAGCAAAACAAGGAACTCATTCTGAATAATGCAGACAGGCATGAAATGGCAGTTTAAAGCATGTCAAACTATGTAGCCTCATATAATTGAAAAAAAGAAACTGTTATGAAGATACTGATGAACTGCAGCTCTTCGCAAACGATAGAAAATAATAAAAAAATATGATAGTAGAAAACAGAAAATTGTTGAAAAGCAATGGTGAAACAGAGCAATCAGAGCCTTGAATTTCACATCAAATGCTTAGCATAACAATTGAGCAATTCCCAATTACAGTAAATGTTGAGCATGTTTCCCTATGGAACATAGACACTGTATATAGTATTAGAGGCCTTAGTGCCTTCTGTGTCTTCAGAACAGAAACAAATGATGATGGTTCAGTTGAAAGGCTTGAAAGGACAGTTAAAAGGCTTGACTGTCCAGCTCGCCTGATCATAAATTGGGTTATTGTCTTATTTCCATTCTCACATTCAGACCATCTTGCTAGCAGCCTCCACCACTGAACTGTCCTGGACTGGGGAAGTGAGCGAAGAAGAGAGGCATGATGACTTGCCTCTTTTATGAGAAAATGTTGACTTTATGCAAATAGAATTCATTAGTTCTACTCTCTTTTAAGAGCACGAGGAACTGAAACAGAACACAAAGGAGCTTTGAAGCTTCACTCCTCGATGAAACTCTCAATCTATCAATGCCACTGTTTATTAAGACTTTCAAAGGCGCAGTAACTGAGCAAGCGCTCCAAACGTGAAAAAAAAACAGCCCCCACTTCCAGAGGATTGGTTAAACAAACAAGAAGGGGAAACATTTTTTTTTCCTTTCAATTGAAGCCACAGACTATAATAACCACTTAAAAGCCCAAACCTCAAAATAGAACACTTCATCAAACTGGGGATTGTTGGTTTTTCTTTTCACTTTAGTCTTCTTCGCCTCAGACCTGGTATCGGAGAAAGGGAACAAGACATTGTCTCAGACTACTGGAGCTTCAAATCTGAACATACTGTACATCGCCATAAATGCTTCCAGAAAACCCGTGAAATGTTGCATTTTATGGTTTTCAGCCCTCTTCAGTTTCTAATTGCGCCGGAAAAAACTTCATGAAGTTTGGAACCTGGAGACAATGTGTATGTTAAGCGTATCCACGCTTAATTTATTACGTTAATTTAATTTATTACGTTAATTTATTATTAATTTATAATACGCTTAAGCGTATTTACGCCATTACCTGCTGTAAAGGAGGATTAAAAGGGCTTTAAAAAAAAAACCCCAACTGGTGCTTTTGTTTTTTAAAGCGAGTCAGGTGGCCGACAGCTTGCTGTCGCAATCCAAGTCGCAGTGCTGGCTGGGGACCAATGGGAAATGTCATAAAAACCACGGCGATCTCAGGAGAACATGAGAAGAGGAGTGGCCTCGCACTGCCACTGCAAGCGATGCCGAGCAGCTGCCCTGAAATCCCACTGAGCCAAGTCTCTTGGCAGCACCTGCTAGCCAGTCCCACTTTACAGAGCATAACAGGGCGCGAAGCCTCCCGTTACCTCAAAAGCATGAGAAGATTCAAAGAACTAAGTAACCACAGGAGGCGAAACACCTCCGAAACACCAGCACCCGGTGGATTTGAAAAATAACAGCAAACTGAAAAGGCCAAACAGACACCCAGGAGCGAGCAGACTGACTCAGCGCTGCTGTTATTAGACTCGGGGGGGAACACTCTAACCAGAATGAGAAAGTATGAAAGCATTTGTTCAGTTTTACAGTACATGCTTATTTTGAACATGGAACAAGAACAAAAAAAAAGATTTCTTCCAAAGCAACTGAATGCACAATCCAAACCACAGAACCAAAACAGCAAGCTCTTCCAAGCAGCACTGGCAGACAAATGTGAAGCAAGCAGTTTCAAAACTACAGGATGAAGATCTCCCAAAAATTACAGGCTGAAGCTGTGTAAGGGGAAGAAAAGAAGCCATGTTTAACAACGGGGAAAAAAAAAGACGCCACTGTGTCATCCATTCTCCCAGGCATGAGGGGGTAAAGAACTGTCTGAATGTCAAATAAGGAAGGAATATCATTTTTTTAATCTCCTACTAGTCCAAGCTGAATAGCACGAGCAATCAGGCGCAGGCAAAGCAAAAAGCAATCTTCCTGACGGATGCGAATTGCTTTGTTTAACCCATGAATCAGGGCTAGGAAAGTCAAGGTACTGTATACTCCAAACCAGCCTTTTGCTGGTTAGGGCTAGGCAGGACTGATGCACACATTGGATTAAAGTCTGCATTTCTACTTGTCTTACCTTGATGGCCCCAACAAGGAAACAGTGGCATAAGGGTCACACTGACCATTGACGATGGGCAAGCCTTGGCACTCTAAGACACTGAAGAAAGAAACAAGAAAAGGAGTGAGTTCAGATGACAACAAACCAATACGTTCTTGAAGAGTGTCGGGAAGAAAAAACAGAAAGCAATGACCTTTCTACAGTTTTGCCCCAGAAATATAATCCTTTCACATCTCTTCTTTTGTGTCTACAAATCTACTTCCATGGCTACATTTCAAATGGTCAACGTCTGTCAAGGAGAAATGGACAGTGAATGTCGACATGATACTGTTGTGCAGGATTTGACGAAGACCTGCGATTTGGCACTTCCTCCTAGATTTAGGACAGCCTGCCCACAGGTCACAACTCCCAGAGGTTTTTTTGGTAACTGGTGTTTCTGCATTTGATATACTCTGGACTTGCTTTGCTGTGCAAGAAACCGCATAGTATTTTTAAAGGAAGTCATTTGCTCTTTTGCTATCCTGTACATATAGTATTACTAACTTTTGCTGATGATCATGACAATAAACTCTGATCTCTTTCACTATATCTGCAGGAAAGACTGGCAGGAAGGAATTCTTCATTCTAACAGTCCTCTTGACTGAAATTATTTGGGTCTCAGCAGACTTCTACATATTTGAAGTTATTCAACTAATATCTAAATTCAATTCCAAAGGCAACAGTCTTTGTTTACAACTTCTGGAGTTCACACAATAAAAAGGAGAAATTTAAATTCTTCTACAGGTCACTGTTTGTAATCCACTCCACATTATCAGATCACTGTACTCTGCCTCCTACATGCAGACTATCCTAATTAAAATAGCATTTGCCAAACCCTGCGCTTCACTTGAACTCTGAAACTCAGCTTGGTTTCCAGAGACTAATTACGGAGGATATATGCATGTCCAAGGGCTGGGATCCACTCCCCATTTCTGGTTCACTGGCCCTCTTCTGAACAAACTGGGTGGAAAAGGAGAGGGTTTAATACAACTGCTCTTGTTATTTTTTTGTTAGGAAAAGCAGAGTCTCTTTACAGAGGGTAGGAAAACGAGAATGCCATAATGTTCAAGTCATCTTTTTTCATTTACAAAACAGATTGAAAAGCTGTGGGTGTCTTTTATTAACCGAATTATACTGTGCCCGCGAAGCTTTGCTACAACCACAGAATGTAACCACAGGATCTGACACTCTGTAGTACTGACAAACTCCTCTCTCCTCCCAAATCTTATCTGGTTTGCTCGGGCTGCCAGTCTTTCCTGTTTACAGGTAACAGGAGGTATCTTTTACAGTATGTTACAGTATTTGTGTGGTGCAGAACACCATCTGTCTCTGTAATATTGCACTGTAAGCCGGGACAATTATGTTTTACACTATTACCCATTTACATTGCCACAAATAGTGATATATTATATATATATAAACTGCAATTATATAAACTGCAATTTAGGCTAACATTCAAATAATTTGGTAATGCAGTTAAAGAAACCTTCAGATGTGTCAATGTCAGAATGTACAGTAACATCTGATCAGCTTGTGAAACCTCCTCTCCCAGCAGCCCCTGTACTCTGACCCCATGACACTGTGAAGTTCAAGAATACGTGCCCCTCCTCTCCGCCAGCATATATCCAATGGTTCCAGCCTAACACGTCCTAAAATGGTATTAATGCCCCTGGGGTATTGTAGAACAGCTTAAAGACAAGCCAACTACAGATCCAACCACCAGCGTTCAAGCAGCTGTTGGTTCCAAGGCGGATCTCAGTGGTGAAAGGATGATGAAATGCACAATCTTTCGCCAAAAGCTGATATTTAACAAAGCTGCACTCCTGATCACATTCCTCTCTAGGTTTCAAACTCTCAACTAATAGCACACTGGTAAGATTTCACTGGTTCAGAATGCTCATTCTTGGTTCACCTGTCCCGTGTCAGGCAGAGGCTGCTGTGAACTCCACTGCTTATTGAGCTGGCAAGCCTCTCTTGACTTAAAATGACAAAAAATATCTTATCCATGCCCCATGCTGCCTCAGTCTGATTGTATAACACTGAAAAAGGAAATTAGCACAGAATGTGCAAGTCCAGTATGTGAGGTACAATATCAACCTCAGTTTTTTCAGTTTTTTCTTTTACAGTTATTTTGTCTAAAACAAAGTGTGTCTGCACAAATGACAACAAATTGAAAAGCTAAGCGAAAACCTCAGTAGCTGATCTCTTCCGCAGACAGGAAATAGACAACACTCCATTGTTAATTATATAGCTTCCCGACAACATGCCAGGGATACATTCAAGTGTCCACAAAGTTACTTATGCTGCCATTTAAGAAACACCTCAAAATCCGAGGCTGTATTTCACATCAAAGTGGCCAACACGTAGGCCTATGAAATGTTCCACGCACAAAAGAATTTAAAACATAGCAAACCAGAATTGTATGGATTAATATCTTGTTTCAAGAACACGCCTGAAATGTACATCCAGACTTTCCAAAATTAGTAGGTTAGAGCACCCCAAATTGTTATTTTTAGCCAGCAAAAGACTGACATCTGAAATTAATCTGTGCATCTCAACAGTCTATAATCTTTGGGTATTCCCAAAGTATAATAGTGCCTCTGAGATCATACCAGAGTAAAGTAAAGGGTATGTACTGTCTATTTCAGGTTCTATGGTTTTTATTACATTTCTGTTCCTGCACTTAAGCAAAATAGATTTTCAAAAAGCAAAGCCCAGTTCTTTTTGCTCCTTACAAGGATATCAGGGATATTGTGGGTGATACTATTTCTGCTCGGGCTGCACCAGAGAGGGACTGAAAACCATTTGGAGATAATGTGTTAATTTCCTTTGCCTCTGCTCTGACGCAGAACCAAAGTCTCCGAGCCTTCTGGTTCAATGCAAACAGCCTCTTGTTTGATTGAACTATTTTGAGATAGACAGCAACTAATCCACTCCTCTCCTTGCCCTCTCCTGAATTGCCCTCTCTCAAGCATTTTAAAACAGTGTTAACGTAAAATGATTGAGATTTTTCCATTGAGGAATCAGCAAAGGCCAATTTGGCCAACTTTCTCCACTGTGAAGGCACGATGACGGGTCATTAGCACTCTGGTGAGGAAGGAAACATTCAGACCCGCTTTACATCCCCATATCAGTGTCCTTTCACAGCATTTACATGTCCCCCACTCCCACGCCACCCCTATAGACTTGCTTTGATAACAGATGCATGTTGGAGGCCCAGCTAATCTGCCATGTGGAGGTTAAATAAAGGTGGATAGTTTAGGAGTGCTTTAATGCCAGGGCTAATCCTTTGGAAGCTTCCTGTCCTTCCAGTCTATTTATATAACTAACTCCAGTTTAGCCTACAAGACTTATCAAATAAATAACATCCTGCAGGCTTCTATGGTCAGTGAGACTTCGTAACAACACCCACATTCAAAATGAATGAATGGATAAGTGAATGAACACACTGCTGTCTGGGATCATGGTGGGTTTGCAATATTATATTAATTTTACCTCAGAGTACCACAGAACATGAGGCACTGCAGTCCTATGCAGAGGTCATATTGTAACACTGGACTAAGCTGAAAGGTGTAAGGGAACCCGTAATGTCAGGAGCAGACCTGTCCACAGGAGAAAACCACCCATGAAAACAAGCAACCACATGTGTGTGCTGCTGACCTTGACCAGAGCGCTCCTGCAGAGAAAACTAAAAACCATTACACTGTCAGCACCTTCTACAAAAACCAGAACCCGGGCTGAACACAATCCACATATCGGTAAGCACTGTTACTGCTAAGTCAATCAGAGGGGGTGCTTTCTGAAAAGGGGTAGCTGCTTCTCAAACGGAGCATGCAACAAACCTATTTGATAGCCTGTGATGGGTTTTTTTTTATTTCCGTAAAAAAAGCTCCACTGCCTTTGTAACTGATAAAAAATAATCTGATTTCATGACAGTCAGTTGGGATTTCAGTAGCCATGCACTAATGTAGCAGCTAGCTGTCTGAACAATACCTAAGAGACAATATGTCCCAATGTGGCTGCTGAAAACCACAGAGTAAGAGACGAAGGAACAGCGTGAGCTGAATTTGGTTGGCAGATAATCTTAAGAAAACTTTCACCATCAAACCACTACAGAAAGAAAACTACTGCACATTTTAGGTTATTCATATACACTGTGCAGATGTGGTAAAACATTACGTTATTTGTGAATGGTGACCATCTTTTCTCTCCATCTCTCCCTCTCTCCCGCCGCAGTTGATAAGCCGATTACCCAGGCTGCCTTTCTGGTATTGCCCGGATGATGCAGATGAAGTCCCAGCATGCCCTGGGGCAGCGCAGGGGGGAGCTCCGGGCAGGTTACCGTGTGTCTTCATTGAGAGAAAGGCTGAGACTCATATAAACAGGATCAATTATAGCCCAGCAGGAAGCTGGCAGATCCCAGCTCTCGCAGTGTGACTCATCCCCAATCCCCCTGTGCTCTCCTCCCCTCACTCTAAGCTGCTCGTGCAGAGTGCAGAGACGCCACCGTGTTTATAAGACAGAAATTCAAACACAGAACATCTGGTGAATTCAAAGATGCATTCTTCCTAATGACCACGTAGGCCAGAGAATTTGATTCTAAAATAAAATATCCAGGAGTTTTATTTAACCTTTAAGGGTAAATTTCCCTCTATATGTTCTAAAGAATCTCCAGAAGTCTATATAAGTAGACTCCAAGAATGTTTGTTGTGAAATGGAGAAATGTGTGTTGCAGACTGTACTTCCAAACCTCACCTACATAAAGAAAAAAACTTTGAATTTAGTCTGTAAGTGTTTTAGTTTAATAAATTCATTCACTCCCATACCTAGACTGGGCTCACGGTAAGTCTTGACTACACCAAGCAAATCAAAGGGTACTGCAGCTCTCAAAAAACAAAGTGTAGCAAGTTTTCTTACAAGGTGTTCTCTCAAGCTTTGTCGAAGAACAAAATGATAACCTTTGAAGCTTGCTCTAACACACAAAACAACAGCTGAAGCTAATAGAATCTCTAACCATGCATGACAAGGCCGGGTACACAGCACTAACTCTCTAAGTGCTAAACCATACCCAGGGGCAGGTAGTATACCTCGTGCAAAAAACACGATCACCCATTTGTTTAAACACAAAACCAATTATAATGCATTCTGTGAAACTTGTGAAACAGCAGGTGATCATGAGGTTATTAAACACAGGTTTCTAAAATTCTTGCTTCTGCTAATGGTTTCAATACTGCTCGAAAACACTCAACTCCGGAATAGAAGGAATATGACAGACTTTCATCCAAAAGGAACACTGTATTGTTAGTGTTTACAATACAGGTTATGCACTGAATGCCCACTGACACAGAACACATTGCAAAATTTCACACTTAACATTCATTTTAATTCTGACCAATGTAAAATTCATGCCCAGAAAATTGATAGGTAGGAGATCTCAAGCTCCTTTATCCCAAGGTTTTCTGGATAGCATGAATTATTTTTCATTCAAGCCTTTTTTTCCAAACCATGTTTTAAATATATACATATGAGTGAACTTCATGTAACCTTGAAAGAGAGTGCTCAGGCAGATTGGCTTTGAGCTGTGTGGCACTATGAGTCATTTCAGAAAAACACTGACTCACAGCTCACCCAAGGATATCTGACCATCAGAATGGCTGGGATCATTTCAGATTATTAAAACGTCTCCCTTCAGGTTAATCAAATCTGTTACTGTTTCCTATGCAATGAAAAGAATACAATATTCAATTTTTCAACATTTGTATTTGTATTAAAGCTTGTTACGTGTTTACATTGTACGTTTTACTGTTTTCTTTTTATAAATATGCACAAACCTTATTACTAAAGACATGCTTGCAAAAAGGAATCTGCATTGGAATTTTTTCCCTCACAGTGGAGATTCTCCTGCAGGCAGACATGAAGATAAAGGTAGCAGAACCTCAGGACTGTCTTCAGTGGGAGTGTTATTTTCATTAGTTATACTGTGATATGTTTTAAGAGTATATGATGGATTGTCTTCTGGTTTGGCAAATTATACATCTGGTTTTCATTTATAGCTTTAAAAACCCAGCCATTTTTTTGCTTGCTTGCTGGAAGGAGGAAAAAAAAAACCCACGTTCCAGAATATTAATGAATGAATAAAGTGATTTATATCCCCCTGTGATTTTGCCATTGATTAAAAGCCTATTTCATTGATGAAGAAGAAAATTAAAACAATAACAAACTGACACAGAACAAATCTAGGTGACACGATCTACGCTGTGCTACCCTAATGTGGTTTGTGTCTGTGCCAGACTCTGTACGTTACCTGTTTGTAAAACATGTGCATTCAACGAGGTTCAAAACTTGAGTCTTTCTGGGAATGTACTTCAACCAGCAAAGTGTTGCTCCTGTTTCGCCTTTCTTCCTGCATATTCCAGTTTGTGCTCTGTATAATTCTCTCTCGCTTTTTTATGAGTTTGTTAACCACTGCGCTCAATATTTATTAACAGGGATCTGTGGCGAAGCACATTTAGCACCACTCAATGCTCTGGAGTGCTTGGAAAAAGCACGCATACTAAAGACTGCACAACACTTTACACTGTACATATGCACTCCACTTGTTCTCACTCAGTCTTGAATAGTCTCTTCACAAGCAATTCTGCTTAAGAGTTTAAGATCAGAGAATGCACCAGCCCAAAGAAAACAACTTCCCAAACAACAACATTTAGTGAAGTGTTTGTCAGGATGGTACTAAATAAAAGCATGCTTGAGTGTTTTCTGTATTTAATGATATCAGTACATAGCTAAACACAAAAGAAGCACTTGCCTGTTCAATGCAAAACCAACACAGTTGCAAAGGCACATTTCTGCGTTCATAAACAAAGTTACTCTTCTGCACGTTCAGTATTTTAAACAGCTCACCCCACTGCTCTTTTTTACTGTTCCCTGAACAACGGAGCTGAGCATGATAAATTAGTACTAAAGTAATAACAGTGATCACAAGTAAGAATCTAATAGTGAGTAGGAGTGCTAAAACATATGTCACTACATGTCAACTAACCTCTCTGAACCTGTCCTGTCTTTGACCACAGCCCAGTTCAGTTCTAGCCCGTTTATGGCCATAATCAGAAAGATACAGGGGCCTGGTGTGACCCCATGACAGGCGACAGGAGCGAGGGAAATGAAAAGCTTCACTGACTCACCGTGTTGCCAGCTTGTGGCATATGGCTCCGCTGTCTGTGATGACTTCGCTAAGACGCAGCTCCAGATGGACTTTTCCCTGTGAAGGAGGGAAACGGAGAGCATTTTTAGGCCAAGGCCGCAAATAACCTCACCGTTAGAGGCATTTCTCAGTGCGTTTGCTTTCATAATCGCTACAAAGCAGAATTCAGAATTCTAAATCCTGAAACACGTATTTAGAATTGAATCTCAACAATCTTTTGAAGGACTGTTTCTTTGAAATATTTAATTTTATGCTTCAGAATTTGTATTTTTAATACACTAAGCGGCAGGAAAATTAATTTCAGCATGATGTTACTTCAGAATGGCTACACAAAGATGTGTCATCATCAGATTTTGTGTGGTACTGGAGGTCTCAGGTCCATTCTCTCAGGTTCCCTGTACTGTAATGTAGGAAGAGATGCATCAATCTCAGGCTGTTCTACCACGCTGCTACAGTCAAGAGCAGCTCCCGATTCACAAGACAGGTCTTTAAATAACAGCAAGCTACACATTAAGTACCATATTACTCTTTTACAGATATACAGTACCATTCCTATACTTTTATTTGATTAACAAATTGTCCAATACATCATTCTTCTATTAAGTCTCGTGGTAGAGTAGAGGCTGATCAGTTTGTATAGCTGCATTGTGTGAAGCTTAAACTGCTCAAACTATGTAAGTTTTATTTGAGTCTGAAGTCTATCTCTAAACTATCTCCGTAACTAACTTTACATTCTGGAATGTGTTGAAAAGAGTAAAGTGTGCACACACAAGGACATAGGAAAAACGTGTCTGTACAGGTGTATAATCTGTCTCCTTCATTAACTGATTAAATGAGGATCTCGAGAACAAAATTTCAACAAAAAAGTACTGATTTCATTCTACATAATGCCTTACTGTTCTCAAAAATGAGAACTTGCAATCTTTCAGTTCCTTAGGAGATAATAATCTATATTGATGTCAAAAACCCAAACTGGACATAAAAATGAACTGAATTCTGCCAAGAAAAGGAGAAGTCTGTGGCTGTACTGAAGTGTTCCGGAACAGAATAGCAGCTTGGACGTCCCAGTGACTTCATCTCTATACAAAAAGTAAAGTTGTGATGTGAAAATAGTCAGTCGGAGGAATTCACAAACCCTTACAGCGCTCAGTTCTCTCAGTGTGGCAATATTCTGCCCCCTCCCTTTATTGGAAGCAGGAAGAAGCTTTTATCACTTGTTTCAATCTTTTGTTTCTTTCACATCCCCCTTTATAAAGAAGCATCTGTATGTTAGTAGCGCCTTCTTCCATTTCTGCTTTTGCTCTTGATATAGCAGATTCCCTCAAATAAGATCTGATGGAGTGTGCTGAGCTTTGGCTGAAAGATCTGAAAGGCTGAAAGATCTATGAGACAAAATAGAACTAAACAGGCCACTTAAACTGTGTGATGCTATAGGAAAGCCTCTTCGACAGTTCACCCCAAGTTGTTGTTAGAGCAGGATAATTAATACCCTTTCCAATTATTTTACACAGGTCTATCTTAAAATAATGGTATAGCTGTTACCTATCACGTTTTAAGAGTTCTTTCCGACAGTGTTTCTCTGGTAGGTGCAAGCCTGTCTGAGTATTTGTGAAATTGTCACAACACAGATCTTGTGGGGTTTTTTTTTTTCCGTTGCTTTAATGGCAGAGGAGATCTCTTGCAAAACAGTCTCTAGTCCTCCAGCCACCAGCACTTCAGCTCTGCATTAACAAGAGCAGATGAGCGTTTACATTCATATCTATATGTGAAACTGGTGTTGCACCCATACGTTTCCTATGTGGTGTACAGAACTAATATCATCCTGGAAACAGAACTTCCTCAGTGTGTGTGGCTTCAAGAACTTCACACTGCCTCCTTTAGTTATTGACATCTACTGTGTTACTTCTAGCATCACCTCCAGCAATTTGAGCATGTATTCTTAAATACAGAGATGTTTTTTTCTACAACATTTGAAGATGCTTTTTTTTGTTTAGAAATTGATTGCACTATTGTACTTTGTATTTTGGCCATCACTACCTTACAGAAAATGCACTGTTTCTTGGAATCTGCCCTGAGAAAAGCAACCAGATGCATTCTTGGACTTCAAGAAATGTCCTACACCGACAGGCTAAAAGCACTCAACCTTTTCAGTCTTGAACAGAGATGATTATTAGCGTCTATATAATACTGCACAGCTGCGTCACGATTCACAGTGGAAAAAAGGAGTCCTTCCAGAAAATCAACCCTTGGTATTATGGCTAAGAATGTAAGGTTTCAGTTCTCCTCTTGTCTTTCCAAAGTATCCTGAAAACACAGTAACTACTACATACTGAACAATAAATGAAACATAACTACATTTAGAAATGCATTCCTTAAGGAATGTTAAAAGGGTTAAAAGCCACTTTTTTCCCCCTTTCTGTTCATACACAGTCTCAAATTGAGAGGTACCAGAGCTGAGCTCCAGGGGACAAAATAAGCAAAAGCTGTAAATTGTAACCACATCCCGTCAAAGGAGATCACAACCGAGGCTTGATTCGGCCACACTACTGTTAAGGGCTAACCATGTGGCCCTCAGCACAAAAAAGGATGCAATTTTACAGTCACCTGATACTGTAATTGCATGTTACAGATTAGATAACCTCACGTTTTGCAATTGGTCAACAAATATCCTACTTGTTACTTATTGTTATGCACACACGTATGTATTTTGCTTCCTGTGACTGGGAATTTCCTGTGCTTCCACTGCGCTTATGTGCTTTGCACCTGCAAACAATTCTATTATGTAATATACAATATGTACGGCCACTGATGCTGGGTTAAAACACAGACTGAAAGGCTAAGGCACAAGGAATGGAAACAGGCTGAGCAATCCAGAGAGCTGCCACTTCAGATCAGTCATATTTGTCTGTGTTTTAGGTTTCGCTTAAAGAAAAAAAAGCAAAGTCATGCTTCCTTAAAAGAGAATATTGCATCACAATAAACTGTCCAAACAGATTGCTCTTGGACATCTGTCGGCCTCCTGTAAGTCCAGAACAGCAGCTTCACCACAGCCTGACAAGCATGAGCAACGCATAAGCATCATTTCAACAAAGCATGGGTACAGCAAGACTCTGAAAAACTCTATCAGAGATACGATTACACCAAACACCTAATATATTACAGTCCTAATTCCAAATTTTATTTACTAGTCTATTTGTCTGATGTTTTCAAACAAAGCAACTTACATTTCCATCACTGGGTACAACAGCAGTCTCTCACCTGGGATTTGTACCCACCGTTTGTAACCTTCCAGTTCTTATGAGTACAGAACCAGTCCACACCTCACCATTATCAGAATCACATCCACTTCCAGTTTGCACATGTTAAAGCATGCAACGGACATTTTTTTGATGAAATGTTTTAGGTTTTGGCTAATTTAGGCAGAGCCACAGGAGCTGCAGGAGACTCAAGCCAATGATGATAACTATGCCTGGCTTCAGGGAAAGCTCCCCCACTGCAGATCATTGGGTATGAAACTCCCCAAGGTGTCATAGTAATGCACCACTGGTACTGAGGTGCGTCCAAGCTGTTTTGCGCTGAACCTTTCTTTCAAAAAAAAAAAGTGAAACTGTCAATGTGCATCGTCTACCTTTCGAATCTGTTAAGCACCAGCTCTGAGTCGGCTTGGTTCTCTTCTACATCTCCTGTACTGGCACAGGGCCCCCGAAATGAGCGATGGTTAGAGCCGTTTCACTCCCCCGACGCCAAGACCAGCTGGCTCACTCCACCCCACTCCACTGGCTGAGGGATCCCGGCCACAGCCGACGGGCGCCATGACCCAAGCCGAGGCTGAACCCGCCATGTCTCGATCTGGTTCTAGGTCCGGCGGGAGAGGCCTGAGCTTCACTTTCCCAACCCAGGTCACTGACCTGCTCTCTAGAGGAGCGCCTGAACTACTGGAGTCACTGGGAACACCCCCCATTCTTAAGACATGACTGTGGAGGGGCCAAGAACAAGTGGCACTCCGAGGAGGTGCTGGGCACAGCCTCATACATCCCTCATGTATCTCTCAAATGTATACAAGCGAGTGGACCCACCTGCACTTCGGAGTCCGCGTCGACATGCTGGAGCTGGAACCAGGTGTCCCTTCCATGGTACTTCTGCAGGTCCTCCTTCATCACCGCCACCTTACCTGCAGGAAAAGTGTGCGGTGTGCACAATGAATCATCTCATTCCAGTAGCCATGACTGGGGACGAGAAATGCATAAGAGGAAAGAACAAACAAAGCCAAAGCCCTCTTCGAAGCATAGTCGTACACAGCTGGAGGCCCGAGATCTATCTTAATCACAGCGAAGCAAACAAAACCAAAGATGACTCAGTGTCACCAGATACTGTACAGGGCAATAAGCAGCACCAATTATGTAGTACTGAGATGGTCCTATATCATTGCTTTTAGCAGAGACAAAGACCCATCAGATACCCAACAGTGCCTCGTTACAATGAGCAAAGATTTCGACTAATTTAAGAAAAACCCAAGGCTTTGAAAAAAACACTGAATGTACTAGGCCTTCCCAGACCTATAATAAACCACAAAAACTGAAAGCCCATCAATCAACAATATTTAGCAGTGTGCTTAGGATCATTTTTTTTTAAAAAGGAACAGGCTGACCTATTGGTCTAATGGATTAAATGCAAACCCTGTGCCTCACAACCTTCTTTAATCTCTCCTCCCCATCTCTTTAACACAATCTTTTTGCACACTCCAATTCCCACCCCTCCGAAGATCTCTTCACTTTATTTGCACTCACAACACAGCCTCTAAAATTGCATTAACCTACCACACTACATGGAGCCCAGACCACTTGCTGTAATGTCAGCTAAGACAGAATTATCAGTTGTGACTCTCTTGGGCCATCTCTTCGTCACAGGAGACTGAAAGCTAATTTAATTAGCACTAGGACATTGCACATCAGCCCAAACTATCCCGATATTACATTCGTGTCTTCCTCTCAGATCTCCGGGGAAGAGAATGGGGCTGTTCCTACCTGCGGAACTGTGCCGTGAGCTCAGATGAATTCTTTCAGCTTCTGCCTCATACAGAGGCCTGGATGACAGAGACTTGAGCTTAACTTCCTTGTGATACAACAGTAAGGTCTCTCAGGAGTGAGTTTAAACAATACACATGAGATATACAGATAACCAGAGAAAAACAATTTGGAAAAACAAAACATTCTTTCAACCCTAATGATCAATTCTAAAGCCTTAATCGGAAAATCTGCGTGTTATGAGAGACTATGATATTTCTATCATGTTAAATGCTGGAGTTTCCTTTTTAGGTTTTTGTATTACTCTCCTGGGTATAAAATGACAAAAGGTGTGACAAGCGATTCGTGATATTCAATACGTGTTTATGAGTTTGCCGAAACAAGGGCAATATTTGCAATTTTAAAAGGGAACAAATAACAGTTTTAACCTTTCAACCGTGGAATTTGTTCAGAAAATTGCTTGACGACCCTGACCAGCACTGAGGGGAATGATGACCAGCGTCAGCCTTACTCTAGCATATCTACCACATCCTGGCAGAAGGAGTGACGCAGCTCTCAGGGAAAACCCTGCTCAGCACAATGGTCATTGCTCAGCAGCAGGATGAAGGTGTCCTCACGAACTCAGGACCAACCAAACCCTATCAGAACCTTTCAGATCTTGCTAGGTTGCAAGAGGAACACTGAAGTGCAGAACCCGGGTGGTTGGTGCTGGGTTAGTGCTTTCACCCTGCCCTCATTTCCTCACTGCAGAGGAAAACACAAAGCCCTTCAGATGCACAGTACTTGAAATCAAGGGTTCAAGGCGCTACCAAAAATGTTTCCTTTCTATGCATGAAGCCTTATGCTTCTCTAGCAAAACGGATCCAGGAAGAACTGCTGCTTAAGAAAACGAGGATCTCATTCTGAATTATTTTATCATCGATGACAAAGGCAACAGCAAGGTATCATGGAATCTTCCCCCCCACAAAAAAAAAACAATGCTAAAAGGAAGATAACTTGCTTTAAAAGAAAAATTAAATCCACACAGAAGAGAACGTTTAGGCCTACACCGAGGTGCTAGTACAAATGCAGCCTTGTAGTTCTCAAGACCGAGAGAGCAATCCTAGTCAATTAAGTTGTACCTGGAGACCTTCAGGGTGCGTTCTTTCCGGTATATTTTCAGAATAAATTAAAGATTAGATTCAATTGGAGATTAAATTGAACAGAGACTAACAGCCTCGGGAACGACAAAAAATGTTTCACTAAAATAGCGAATTTCTGTTGTGCTGGAAGGGGAAAAGTAATCAGTTACATTGGAGACATGTAATCACTTCAGTTCCATCTTTCTGGGGAGTTCGCAAAGGAAATCCTTGAATTCATTACTAAAGAGAGGAGGTCAACACTGTAGCAGATTCAGAAGAGGTGTCTTGAGGTATTCCATAATGAGTCTTCCTCTGGACCACAGTCCCAGCCCCACAAACCACTGTGGTTACGCAGTTAAACTAAGTTCTAACCTCAAAGAGCTCAAAGTGAAACAGGAGGGAGTGCTGGAGGAGGAGGTATTTGTCATGAAAGTGACACAGCATTGTAATTATGAAACCAAATCACTGCAAGTGTGCCATTCCCAGGCCACCCTCATATGCGCTTGAGGCTTTTCCACATTCAAAAGACAAAAGCCTGACGCAGGTATCCCACGGAGCTGGAGATGAGAGCTCAGAAAGACGGGTTATGAATTCGGACTAGAGTAAAGCTACGAAATATTACCCACACCTGGTAGCTTTGCTGCTGGCACAGTTCACAGCAGCCATTAAACATCCCAAACTCTACAACCAAATTCAGAGGTACTGCAATGCCCTATTATCAGGGAGCACCCACCACTCTTTCAACACCTTACAGCGAATTCAGAATGCAGCAGCTATTATTGTTACTAGGAGCAAAAAGTACGACCACATAACCCCCATACTTAGTTCTCTTCATTGGCTTCCTGTCAGGTAAAGGGCGGACCTCAAAATCCTTCTACTTACTTACAAGACTCTCAGAGGTCAGGCACCTGTCTACCTAATGGAACTTATTAATGTTTACCATCCAAGTCGCCTGCTTAGATCACAGAATGCAGGTCTTCTTCATATTCCACGAATTGATAAAATAACAGCTGGCGTCAAAGCTTTTAGGGCCCCTAGCTTATGGAACAATCTCCCACCGCATATTCGGGATGCCGAGTCAATCTCAGTATTCAAATCCAGACTGAAGACATATTACTTCAGCCTAGCCTACTCACACCGTACATCATAGCCTGCTGCAACCATGGCTGCTGGTGCTGCTGTACATGCCACTGTGTGTCTCTGTGTTGGCCCACCAGGTAGATACTGTACATCTGATCTGACCAAACTATCCTATTCTCCTCCCCACATGTCCAGATGGTGCCCGGGCTGGGCACCATCTGAGTTGGATGCTGCATCACTGCCATGGATCCAAGAGGGACATCGTGTACATAGCTATCGTTTAGGATGAATTTACTGGTCTACAGAGATCTGCATGAAGTACTAACACACAGAAGACATGATGGATGGATGGATTAATACTCTCAACTCTCTTTTTCCTTTTTTAAATTATATAATGTTAGCATATATATTTATATAATGTTGGGCAACCAGTTGACCTTGGACCCCTAGAGGGCTTTTCTCTCCTTACTAAGGAATTTTTGGTTCCTCTCCTCCGTTGTCTTCTGGTCTTCTGTTCTGTATTGACAAAATGTATCGGCAATTGCATTGTTAAGTGGCTTGGGGCAAGCTTGTTGTGAAAGGCGCTATATAAAAATAATTTGAATTGAATTGAGAGGTGAGAAAAAGAAAACCATGCTATGCCATGGTCCTGTTTTCCTCACATTACTTTCAAATGCAATTCAAGGCAAAAAAACAACCCAAGTATAACAGGGAAAAGGAGATCTACTGTAAGAACATGAGTATTCCAAAGGAATGAAAAGGCACATCTCTACTTTGCTGTTTATATGTGCAATACCCCTAATTCATAAAGTAAATCAATAAAAAAAACAGAAATGCAATGTATTTTCAAATTTCTAATCCTTTATTTAACCCGTTCTGAGATCATCTGAGAACAACTCATTATTGACAATGACTACCCGAATTCCCATTTCATACTCCAGGACTTAATTTACTAATTGTCAGATTTTCAGTTTTTTTGAGACATGAGAACCCAAAGCTGGGTGGTGGGCTTCAAGGTCTATATTCCATTTTGAATCCTAAAACAACACCAATCACCACTTTCTGGATATTTTGTGCAAGTGTGATATGGCCTGCTAACCTGAGCTCCAAAACACACAGCACCTACCTCTTTAGACAGCAGTGAATTCTGAACACCAACACTAAAGGCCAGCTTAACACAACATGCAAAAAATATGGATTTAGAACTTGCACAAACTTTTACTATTGGCGCTTTAAATATGTTCTTTTGAGACGAAAACCATCTTCATCTCTTTTGACTGTCCTACACCCATACCAATCAGAGCATTGGGAAGCCATGCTGTCACAAGACCTAGCATGTGTTTTCCTGGGAATTTTAGAGCTGGTGAAAGCCAAAAGCCCAACTGCGCAGACATTAGCTCCCATCACTTTATGTCAGTAATATCTGAGGACCACCAACAGGCGTGTATGAAGGCTACTTATCTGGCACATTGCTAGTGTACAAGCAAGTATTTCTACAAGTCTTTTGAAACAAACACACAGTATTCAAGTAAGCAGCTGCGTCAGCATGCGTAGGCTGCAAAGGAACAAGTACAGGTTTATCCCATGCTGAAAAGAGAAGAAAAGAAACAAAATGTTTCAGCTGTGGAGCCTTCTTCGGGTGAAACGTTGTGTTTCTTTTCTTCTCTTTTCAGCACGGACTAAACCTGTACTTGTTCCATTGCAATGAACAATCACCACCTGAAAAGCAAGAAAGCAAGAGAGCACTGTTTAAGTTTTAAATTCAATGTAGTCTCTAAGTGAACTTCAAACGACAGATTTTGAAGAAGCAACAGTGGAGGAGTCTGAAAGATTGCCACAATTATAAACACCTGGTGTATGCCAACGTTCTCCGGTTGAATAATACTACATGCTGCTTACACCTCACTGAATACAATACATTACATTTAAGGCGCTCCACTCAAAAAGGCAGAGGGAACTTTAGCTCTTGGTATCCAAATGCTCATGGAGGAAATGCAGCCCTTGATCTCCAACAGAGATATCAGCCCACACAGCCCCCTTATGACTCTGCACTAATGTCCCATATCACCACAGTCCTCTGTGTTGCTGAATTATGGCAGACCATATTTAATTATCAACTCAGAGCGGCCAGGCAGTACTTATCTCGCAGCCCTGCATTTCCTCATTAGCATCCCAGTGAATGACATTTAAACAAGGGGCACTGAGGGAAAGTAAAGTTGTTCTCCGGTCTGTAATGTGGGAAAATAAAAACTTTTATTTCCCCAATGATGCAGAAAGCCTCAACCACAGGTTCCAACTTAAAAGAAACCTGATGCCAGGATTCCATCTAGAAGAATTAAAAAAAAACACCAAAATGACAAAGTTTCTAATTCACCTGTATCAGGTTTAATATCTTTGAAATATAGTGGGTTGAAATTCGAATTCGATCTGTGCCCTTACCTGTCAGGAGACATTGTGACATTTCTCCTTAGTGCCACTCTACTTGAACATTCCCAAAAAATTAAATTCAGCAGCACTCGTTACACAACACAAATGGATGTGTGAATATCTTTCCAGTTACATGCAGGATTTTTTTTTAAACAACTGGAATTAATTTAACAGTTTCGACAAAAAAAAAAAATTTGCTTGCCTCAGTCCTGATAACCACAATGCTTCACATTGTTACAGACTGACATGTTTTGCCGATAGACGTGCAGCAGGCTGAGCTTGAGTGCCAGTGGAACAGTTTTGCAACCAGTCCCTTGCTTTAATGATGCAATCGTTACACATTACTAATCTGCAAGCACAACGCCATATTCATTTCTTTTTTTCTTGTTTCCATGCCAAATCCCAGACGGAAACATTCTCGCTGCTCAGTTTTGATCTCCCCCCAACAGCAGCAGAGGTTCCACCTCTTCAACAAGACTCTTAAGAGCACAGCTGTGAATATTTTGGAGATGACATGGCCATGTTCTCTGTACTTCTTCAACGCCGCGACAGGGAGCTCCACGCTTCTGCTCAGACTCTCTTTCTTGCAGTGTGATTCAAAACTATTTTTACTTCTTTAACCAAGATCCTGCCCCCTGTGAACACAGATTTTAAAATTCCACTCCAGCTTTAAGAACAATCCCAGTTTTGTTCATGTTTGTTTTAACAAACTGAGTTAAGCTGGGATCCTTCCAAAGAACTAGAGTGGTGCACATGGACAGCTCAGCAAAGATAAATATATTCTACGATAATTCAAGAGGTGAAAAGAGGTGGATCCTGTCCAGCATGAATGTTCAGCAAAAGCATCTTCCACACCTCTTTTGAACGCAAAATGGAAGTAAACACATCATCCAGCAGAAATCAAGAATTCTGGCTGCAAAATGTACGCAACCAACAGAGCTTTCCAGGGAAACTGGTCACGCTGGGGGAAAATACATGCAAATCAGAAACGCTCAAAAGAGGAAAAGATCACAATCTACTCCTGAGGACACTTTGTGATGCTGAGATCAATAAGGTCAGGAAACATTTGTTAAGTGAAAAACTGGAACTGGCTGGTAGGTGAAGGTCATAACAAAGAAACATTTTGTTTGAGTTTAGCAAGGAAAAACCTTTTGAAACAAGAGGCTGTTCTCAAGCTTGCTTATTCAGAAATTTGCTACACAGAAATATGTACTGCACAGTTAAGAAAAATCACAGCCTTCCACAGATGAATTAGGTTCACTCTGGACACAGGGATTAAATGAATCAAACACAAGACACAGACTTCTAGAGGTATTACTGTAAGTCAAGCAGAGTTGGTCCTAACTTACCGATAATGGATTCCCTTCGGAAGACGTCTCTATCGAAGATATAGAAGGACAGGTGGCGGAAACTCCTGGGGATTTCACAGTAAAAGTCTTCTCCATAAAATGGGCTGCAGGAGATGACAGAGAAAGCAAATGTCAGCACGCCTTTCAAGACTTTGGTCTTTGAAACACGGGTTGATGTGATACACTCTGAGGATCTGGAATAAAAAAGTACAACTTGCTGTGGACATTCAGACACAATTTACTTTTCGGGGCTATGCCTGGGTTAGAGAATAAAGGCTGAAAGACACTAATGTTGTATTATGTTAGAAAAGAAGTGTTTAAGCAGTTGCAGCCGATTGTGATATCACAGAGTCTAAGAGTAGTGTAACATGCTCTATGCCATGACTGATAACCCAAACACTAACCAGAAGTGACACATCTTACACCAAATGGCTCGTGAATAGTGAATTCAGTTCATAAGTTCTCCATCTTGTACACATCAACTGTATTTGTGAGTCTGTAAAGCTGTAAAATCACGTGTCACCGTCTTGCACTCATGCCAGTGGCTGATGCTGTAAACACCGTCTCTCATTTCCCTCAAGTGGACGAAAGCGTTTCAGACCTTGAAGCTTTCCAGGCTTTGAAAGCGCTGAACTAATGCTCTCTGTCTATCTACTGCACTTTCAACTCCTCAGTGCAGTCTGGGCCGTTCCCACAGTCTAACGTGATGAGCAGAGCAGCTCAATTTCCAGTGCTCATAAAAAATAAAAGCAATCATTGTAACTATTTGGCATTAAGGAAAACTGTACTGTAATCACCCCATCAATGCTGCTGTATGTTTAACAATGACAATTCTGATCTGTAACCTCCTCTGGAGCGTGCGGTTGTACTTCTGTCTCCTCTTGCTGTCCCCTGGAACACTCCCCGCTTGTCATCTCCCCAAAAAAACTTTCCTTGTACAGTCATGCATGGGGTCCATTCCTGGGACTGGGAAAACAAAGGTTTGCCAGTGTTCCCCTCAGCTGGTATCTGAATCCCAAAAATGTGCTCCGAACCGAGCAGGAGACTGTCCCCGTTCTTCAATTCAGGGACATCATGACACAGGTAGGTTATCGCCAACACGTCACCTGACTGCTGCCGTCCCTACCCCCACCTCAGTCAACTGCCTCAGTGCAGGTGAGCAAACAGAAGGTGTGTTAAATTTAGAAGAGAGGGAAGGTGCACGTTCGTTCAGGTAGGCTCTTGTGACATGGCTACACCGCATGCAAATCAGAGGTTTAGCCCAGGGCCTGAGCTATCCTAGAGCTCTCCACCGCAGCCAGCCTGTCCTTGTGCACAGACATATTTGGCCAAACGCTATCGTCACAGGCACACACCCCAGCAGCCAGAGAAGTGGATAAGAGATATCCATCTGTAAACAACAGCTGCGCCGGAGCCCGAAGAATTCCAGGGAAAGAGAAGGCCAGCGCTCTGAGAGGAGACTGGCAGGAAGGGGATGCCATTCACCCTGACTTCTGTTCTGCGGTGTGCGCCCATTAACATGTTAAATTTCACCCACATAAAATAGCACTGGACATCCAGGAGACGTACCGGATAACATAAGAGTAGAGTATATACAGTATCATATAAGGATTTGGTGTTTCTTTAAACAGAAGTTATTATCACTACCCCCCTGGATCACTGAATCAGCCCTTAAAACAAACTTCATTTCTGCAATGGAGCCCAACTCATTCAACCTTTTTACAGTTCTACAATGCACACTCACACTGTTTAGTAGTGGCTCAAAACATCACAGTACTATGCTGAGAAAAATTAAGAAACCCAGCTGCAGACTTCCAAGTACTCAAAAATTAAAAACATTTTCACTCACTCGTGACATAAGTCCAATATATCTTCACACGTACAGTGTCGTGTGGACAACAAATTGTGTTTTTTTTATGAACAAATCTGCAGCTTTTCTCATAATTCAGGTACTCATTTAATTCCATAAAAGCTCTCTTTTTGAAATGACATAAATAAGTAGACACAAAATTAATTCCATAAATACTAGCGATTTAAAATGAAAGATTTATTGCACATTGCTCTTGGGGTCATTGTGAATCAAGCAAAAAAATAAAAGAAAACATTCAGTTCATTCGATTCTAACGCTAAGATACTAAAAGAAAGACATTTTTTATAAGCAAGTATTACTACTGAAGCCGAAGATAGTTGCAGCGTGTAATGAAATTAACACCTCTGCGATAAGCTATATTTTCCCCACACATGACCATTTTTTCCTATTAAAGCCAATGACATTTAATTCCAATTAAATGCCAGTAACACCCCCCTCTCCACCTCAGTCCCTGTGAGTTCTGATGCCACTCCACACAGTGAGGGGCAATTAACTCATTTCAGCTCCGTCACTGCCCCCAGCAAGCTCAGCAACACGCAGGGCCCACTGTGTGAAGTGCTGGGTTTAAAATTGACATCACTGCTGCTAACAATCGGGCGGGGGTCTTGAAACCATCAACTCAATTACAAATGAATTTAATGCGGGAGACAAGAAATTGGATTCTTGCAGAGTTGCATATTGTGTGACCTGTGTCTTCTCCAGCATTGTGTGTCATTGCTTGTGTAGCTATTACTGTATAATGTATGACTACAGTCATTAGTCTGCTTTAGGTTTAAACAACTATGTTAGAGAATGGAATAATCCTTTATCCACACAACCATTACTAGCTTTAAAAAGGAGCCCTTCAGCCCTTGTCAGTTACTTAATAAGGTTGTTTTGTAAGACAGAGGTACAGTATGTATTTGTCCTTAAAGGTGATTGCAATGTACACTAAGGAATCTGTTCTACATGCCATTAGGGTCAACCCAAAGACATCAGAGTGTGCCAGGGCTAAGGTAGAAATGTGTTATGACTTGGATTCGTAAGGTAGGCTTTGATATTGCTTAGCTTTTAGTTTGCTTGGTTTTTTTCTCTCATGAATATTTAAGGCTGTTCTATGTCAGAGGTGAGATTTATGGACCACATCCTCCCATGTTTTTGGACATGAGGCTACAGAAATGGGAAAAGTTTTCAAGGATAAGTGCACTTTTCTCCAAAGACAGCAGCTTCCAGCTGTTAATTATTAACAAGCCAACCACCCCCACCCCCTGACCTTCCCCTCCCCCCAAAAACCTGCTTGTTACAGTAGCTACAACCTGGGAAGGATGAAAAACACAAAAAACAAACCCAGCTTTCCTTTAAAAGAAGCAGAGCCTGGCTTTAGCAGGGAGAATCTACATTCTACATGAATCATAGAAAGCTTTTAGAAAGCTGCGCAGACTTTTAAAAGGGCAGAAGGTAACAACATGTGTAAACCAGCACAGGCCTGCGAAACTAGTAGGAATAATAATAATAATAATAAGAAGAAGAAGTCTATTGCCGTTAGTGGCTCATGAGGATGATCTGTTTTCAATCAAAAGGGTGGCTTTCAGATGTCAGCTTGGATTCATGGAATATTTTCGCTAAGGGTGTAAAAACAACTGGCATTCTTCTATCCGGACAGTATTTTCTCAGATAGTTTTTCTATCTCCGTTGACCAGTGCAGATGACAGACCAGTGTTTATCACCGTACAGAAGTTGGGAGTCACAGAAAGGGGAAACCACAGTAAACCACTGTAAAGGCTTTTCCCTTAGGCAATATGGAATTTATGAATTTATAAATAAATCTTTTATTTATGAAAATAAAAATCTAGCTCAATTCGGTCCTTTAATTTCGGGAATTTATGATACTTATGATAAAAAAGTAATGACTTTTCTTTAATCATGTATCATCTAGCTCCAAGAGATGTAAAAACAGAACCCTGTGTGCTGCGGGAGAGACGATTAGTGAAGTCTATACGGTGAACAGGTTCAGTGGAAGCAGAGTATCCAAGACGCGAGGCAAAAGAGAAGTCCAAAAGTCGAAAGCAGGGAGTCGAAGCCAGGAGAAGAAGTCTCAAAAGAAGAATAGTTTAGGGCGCAGTGTGTGGCAGCTCTTCTTGAGGAGTCCTCAACAGCGAGCAGCAAGGGCAAGATGTGAAGAGAGGGTTTAAGTAGGAAAAGTGCGTGGGCTTAATTAGGGTGTGAGAATAATGGGCTACAGATACACGCTGCTTGAATCAAATTCAAATGTGACTGAAACAGTTGCAAAAAAAAATAAAAAAATAAATCAGAGGAAAGATAAAAGTTTTGAATTTTGAGCTTTTTGAATAGCAAATCTTAACAGTCCACTCTAGTTTTGTACAGAGGCTGTGGTCATGATATGAAACATACAGCAACAAAAAGACGGTTTTGCATCTAACAGCATAACAATGGCTGCAGATTTATTAAGCCACTGTTAAAATGGTTGTTTACACCCACCGCCACCTCTCACATCTAACAGCTCTCTCCCTCTCCTCACTCAGCCAGGTGGAGACCACAGTAATGAGGTGCCCTAACTTCAGTACTTTTGCACACAGAACTTCTTTCTAGCGAGAATGCAGCACAACATCAAAGACTCCGGGATTGTAGGGTGATGAGAGGATCTTAAACAATAATGCATGCGTGACTATAAAACACCCTGGAGCGGCCAGCCTGCGGATTGGAGCCATTTTTTACTTGATTTTTACTGAGTGGAAGCAAAAGCTGTTAATGCTACCATGTGAAAGCACAGAGCGTAAAAATCAAAAGTGTTTCACAGTGAGACTGCAACTGAGAAACAGAACCCGTGCACACATCTGTGTAATCATTTTCTGAAAAGCAGCAGTGCTCTGAAACTGCACTGCACAGCACTCTTGCCACATGGAGATGATGCTGACATAAAAGTGCCTGTTCATATTATGAACCTCAGTCTGAAAGGAACAGGCATACGACTCTAAAATCTCACTTTCTCATTTTAAATCAGCGTTTTTATTTGTGTAATTTCAACTTGAATTGCCACTTACCATTCTGACTGCCCCTGGAAAAACCTGATTGCAAAAAGTTTGCTTTGTGCTGAATTTGAGGAAACAAACTGATGGGGTATATTGGAGTGAGGTAGGATTCTGTAAGACCTTTACCGTGGAATTTCTTTGGAGTTTACTGTGTATTGATGACCAATATCAACCAATCTGGATGAAACAACATCAAATTAATATTAGAATCTTCAAAGAATAATTGTTTTTTTTTATGTAAAGCAGAAAGAATTAAGAAATGACTGCAGTACAAAAATGAAATTCAAGTATTAAAGACATGAGACAAGATCTCTTTCTACTTTTGCCACATTTCAAATGCAGTACATACTGTAACAAGCAGACTCCCTTCGCCAAGCCCTCCACAAAACTCCCTTTTTAATCGCCATTGACCTCCTGATTTCCCTTCTCCGTATTGCATGCAGAAGCTGTCATTCTTGCAAGGATGCCAAGCCGAGCTGCACTGGGCAGCCATTAAAAGCCACACATCACAACTCCTTTGTGTCAAGACTTCATTAAGTCAGTTCTCACTGGAAAAGGCCATTTAAGAACCAATGGGGGGGCTGTTTATCTTCCGAGCTGTACATCAGTAAAGAAAAGGACATCATGGGAACTTTCTTCTCAGAGAGGTTTGCATACTGTATCCAAGACTGACCCACCTCCCACTAAAAGAATGATCGAAAATTCCTCAGAAAGCCTGGTTTGCAGAAGCCAATGGCATTAATTGAAATTGTCTAGAAATTGAAAATAGGAAGGTTATGGTCCTGCATGCACAAAGCTTTCAAGGACAGCAGGTACACTTCTCACTCTCTCAACACAATCTGAAATTCCAGCTGTAGATGTGGAAGAGCTCCAGTCTTTCAGCTACAGTCATGTCATTTGGAATGCCCTGCAAAACTAAAGAATGGACAGAACGCTTGTATTTCTGCACAATGTACAGAAAAATCATGTTTTAAAGTCTCCTTCTCACCTTAGTTTCCTGTTTCTACACTAGTTTTTACATGTGCCTTTCACGTTAGAAGACATGGACTTGATGGGTGTCTGAAGTTATCAGTGAGGTACTGTAAAATGTAAGAAGAACACAAAAATAACAAGGATAAAAAAATGAACGGTGTCCCACCATAGTGACTTCTCTACGACTTTGGTCCTGAACACCTCCTCTTGGTCCAGGTTGACTGTACAGTAGCAATCCCTCATCTTGTTGGGACCAGGGTATGGAGGTAGGTTTTTGGCTTCACCTATACAACATGAAAACAGAAAGGTTGTGAGCAACCGCTTGGAACATATAAAAAAGACGCCAGGCTCTGACTATCCAAAGGGGAATCTCCGGGAAAACCAGATGAAAAGTTATGGACTGCAAAGCAGGAAGACTGGGAACCAGAGTACTACAGTGCTGTGAAACAGTGAGAGAGCTGAGCTTCAGCCAGGAAGATGAATATGAGAGAGACAGAAAAGAGCATCCTTTCACTCCAGGTCAGGGCTCCAGACAAGCACTTCATTCACATCCTGATCCCAAAACCCCCTTCCAACCAACACAGCGCCCGGCCATTGGCTGAAAAGGCGCTTTGTGAGCTTGTCCAATAAAAAAGGCCGCCACACAATTCTTATTACTTTATATGCTTCTTGAAGCCAGGGAGATTGCTTTTAAAGGAAAACAACGTTTGTTAAAAAGAGTGAACAACAGCTTGATTTTGAAGATATCTTCTCATTATTTGGCTTTGAAGTAGCTTTAAGTCATTAAAATTAGTTCAAGAATAGATGTCATTCATTTGCGATTTCTAAATATTCTTCTGACATCTGAGCTCTGTACTGCATCCTTATTTTACTGAGACTCGTCTTTGGGATTTCTTATCTTACAGTTTGATTAATTCCACTCATTCCACTCACTTACGTTTTGATGAACATCATCTCTTTTTTCTGACAATTTCTGACCCATCTCCTATAGCTGCCTAGTCATCCAAGAGAAATCACCAAAGAATTAGGCAAATTGGAAATCCACAGCATGACTTGCTTTTTTTCACGCGAGGAACTGATTTTAAATCATGTTCGCATTTAAAAACACCCCAACACACTGTTCATCACACGGCCACAACTGTGATTAGAATGATTAATTCCATGTATTATATAGCACTTTTCATCCTGTTGTATTCCAAACTCCTTAAATATAGGAGGAGGCCAAATTCATTCACCAGTTGCAATACACTTGGGTGTAGCATCGAAGCTATTATGTAGATCATATCTGGAAAACAGGGCACAGTTTGCTTATTGCAGTCACCGAGTAAATGGACAAGTGAAATCTCTATATACTGGAGTACCTTAAAATATATTCTAGTATGTAGGGTTTTAGAGGCGCCTAGTCTTGATTAAATAAACACACAAAGCAATATTTTAGCATCAGACTGTCAGAGTAATAGTCTGAAACAAGCAACTATAGGCAGGTTTAAGAAAGATAACCTTGTGACGTTCCAAGCATGTGCTTCCAATGACAGCACAGGGTCAGAAGCAACACCTGGGTTTCTAACTCGTATGAAAGGTTTTATCTCAGCACCATCAACAGCCACATTAACGCAGAAACTTTGAACAACATAGAGTGGGAGCCTACGACTGTAGAGGCAGCCTTGTCGCAGTTTTAAGAAAATTCTGTTTCAATACAGATATCTATCAGACAGTTCATATGGATATGTGACCCAGTAAGATATTGTGATCGACAGTATCAAAATCTGCTCTTAAATGCAGACAGTGACCTAGAGTTATCACTTAAAGCCATTAGCAAATATGCCTATAATATCTATAATTGGCAAATTGAGAAACAGAAACAAATCCAACTGTCCAACAATCTTAAATTAGTTTTTTTCAGTCGTACAACCATAATAATACATAAAGTCAAATGTCATCAGTTAAGTTAACCAGCTCAGCATGAGACATTACAGTTTTCTTAACTGCAGATGAACATGAGGGCTACACCATGAGTCCCAAACTGTCCCAAAATGGACACAACGACAAACCAGAAAAATTGACATCACAGACTCAATTACAATTAAGAGGCAATTCACATTCCATTTATCTCATGACTCAAATCAATTCACTACATTATCACAGTTGAAGTTTATTACAGTTTCATATAGTGTGCTAAAGCCTGAGCAGGGGTTAGGATTGAGGTAAGTTTCCCTTTACTATCCAACCATTCAAGTGAATAAAACTGAATGGCCAACAAAAGTGAATTTTTTCTTCTTTTTTGGTGCTTAAGGGCTTAGCAGCATAAATGATAGGAAACCCCATGACTCCTGTGCCCGGTTAACACCAGGCTCTGCTGAACTCAAGGCATGATAAGGGGAAACTAGGGTCTTAGTAACCTTTGTTGCTATTAGATGGTCTAACAGGGTTTTGCTGATAGCAATCAAAACTGTTAAGATCAAGGGCACAAGAGGACGTGGGGGTGGGGGGCTGTTGAAAGTAAAAACACACAGAACCACACCCTCCTGTTTCTGTCAATAACCCCTCCGTGCATCTATAAACACTGCTTTTTCAACAGAGGGCAGAAGGAAAGTCCTCCTTGTTTTGGCCATGCTGCATGCATGACGTATTGCAGAAAAGGCGTAAAACCCTGAGCCTGCTCACGAACATATTTCACCACTTCTTCTCTAGAGCCACAACACTGAAAGGACAACAACGTGGCACAAAAGACAGTTTAAAACAAACACAACAGGTATACTCTGCAAAGCCTTCCATTTCCTCATATTTGTTTACGCAGTAGGATTCACATACTGCTGCATCTTTGCAATATTTTCGGTGGGGGGGGGCAGAAATAAAGCTTTCTTTGAAAGGCAAAAAAACAACAACAACAGAGGTCAGGCTTACAGAATCGGCTCCATCAAATTATTTTCCGGCGCCATGGAAACAGCGCGGACTTTTTGCGCTTGCATGATGTCACTACTGCTTATTCAGTGTATAAATAGCACTATTAATATGTATTGTGAGAAAACAGTGACGCAAATGCGGCATTAAAGCCTTGTTTTATTGTAATCCCTCCGCTACTCTCATCATTCCTTGAAAAGCATTGGGGGAGGGGGGGGCTGTTTTCGGGGCAGCGGGCCTCTCTGCGGGCCGTGTGCCGCGCTTGCGAGCTGCCAGCTGTTCCATGTCATCTCCCCGGAGGTCCGGCCATCAGGAAGGAAGTCGGGCTGGAGCCCGCAGGCCGAGGGCAGCCAGACCGGCCAGGGGCCTCTGCGCTGCCCCTTCCACCCATACGGAGGACGGCCCTCGCGGTGATCTGGGCTTCTCCGAATAATCGTATTAATTTGCAAACAGCTCTTGCAAACGAAAAAAAAAAAAACCCACCAACGACATAAAGGCCGTTCATTTAAATAAAATCAAACCGGCCAACTGTCCTGTTGTTTGAAGTTAGCAGGGGCTGCTCTGGTGGCCGATGAAAGGCATCATGTTTCACCCAGCCTAACCCAAAGTATTTTTTTTCCCATATCTGGCTACGCGATTTGTCAAACATGGGACAAGCTGTTACACTGGAAGCAAACAAGTTGAGTTCAGCGAGGCGCTGCGTTTTATCGCAGTCTGGCCTGGCTGGGGCGGCGATCACATGAGTAAATGGCATGGGCTGCACACAATCAGACACCGAGCTGGCGAATGTCTGTCCCCGCCGGTCTCTGCCTCAATACATAGACCCATTGCTTACACGAAGGTCCTTTTTTGAAAGCGTGGAGTAAATAGACCCCCTTTGCAAAAAGAGCGTTATATCACAGAGATGAAGCCCAGCCCCTACTACTCAACATTTGACACATCTATTGTCACATATAAAGCAAAAAAGCCCCATCTTTCAGAGCTTTCTCAATCCCAATCAACGTGAACGCTTAATTCTTGCAACTGGGTGAGCTCGACACTTTCATGCGCACGTGTTCCGCAGTTGAAACCCGAGCAGACTTGTGTCCTCCGGTTGACTGTTTGATCACGCAGCGAGACATCGTCTCCCCACCTGCAGGGCAGCGCAGGACAGCCGGCTGGCCGGAGGCGATTCTGCGTTTTTGTTATTACTCAAGATGAAACCGGAACGCCTTTCCAGTTACCCAACCAGCATTATGTAAACAGAGCAACTAGGTGACCTATGACCAAACAGAAACATAAATGTGGCCGAATTTGATGTGCACAGATTCTGAAAAAAAAAGGTGAGCTTTCAGGGGTGTTAACATATGTATATTCAATAATGAATTACCTTTTCAGTCTCTAGGAATTTGATTTCTCTTGCCTGATTATGCACTGTGCAAATGAATCCCATTTATCCTCAAACTAATTTAATATGTCGATTAGCAGAAATATCTGTGAGCCAAGAAATCTCACCAGTTGCAAAATGTAACGAGTACAGGGTAAAATGTCAGTAATAAATCACCCAAAAGCCCTCAGTAACATGCTGTTACTGACAGAACAAAATCTCCACACCACACGAGCCAAACATCTGAAGACTCCATTCTCACCAAAACATCAGGGGGCAGACTTGTGAAAACAGCTGCAATCCTAATGTTGTAACTAATCACAGGCTGTCAAAGCCTGTTGTTTAACAGGACAACTAATTACCCAAAGGAACTCAAAGGAAAAGGTTAATAAATAAAGAATAAAAGACAGTGGCTTTTAATCAATTCACCAATAAATAGCAAAAAAGGTCAGGATACCATGTTCGATTTTGGATCAAGGTCAATATTGCACATTTTATTTGGCTACAGAGCCTAATAAATCCCTTCTAGGAGTATTCTGACAGGAAGATCAACAAGTGGGATTCAGGAGTAGCTCTTTAAACATTGACGTGCTGACACTCGGTGCTCGTGAGTACCATCTGAACTGTGGTTGCAGAGAGCTGTCCACACACAGCAGTGTGACCTGGCACAGTTTCTTCTAAAAACCTGTAATCCAAAACCTATGTTTATTTTAAAATTGTAACTATGGGTTTTAACAGAATAGAACACAAAATGGCTTTGCAATTACTATAATTGTTGTATGATTTGGTCAGTGCTTTTAATATCACCAGTGCTTTAACTATAACTATATAAATATCAAGCTGTAGCTTGAGAAAGAGACAACAGCATGACAAACCTTAAACCCTATGAGGCAGTTTTGAATCAGACCTTGATAAATGTGTATTGAAACAACAAACAAACAGCTTTCTAATTAATCCTAAAGGAATACTACTGAACATTTTCCTCCACTGTTTATGTTAGCATTGCATTGTTTTGGT